AACCTGGTACCGTAACGTTTTCATTTTTTTAGTACCGACTTGGTACCGAAATACCGGGTCTTTTGACAACACTACTATAATCTAAACCATTTTCCACTATAAAGAAACTTCTGTGCAATGGAAATGTTCCATTGATGTTAAAGGTTTTTTAATGAACCATCAAAGAACCTTTATAGCAGAGACGCCCAAACTTTTTAATACGAAAGTTCAAATATCAAGCTTGATTGAGGGGTGTAGGTCAAAAGTAAATGTTGCATTTAGGGCTGGGCAAAAAATCGAATGCGATTTTCATGCGAATCTCGTCAGTAAAGCCGCTTCTGGTGATTAGTAGTAAATCTCCAGCACGTGCTTTCAGATGGAGCGGCATTTACTACACAGAGTCGTAGATCACTGACAAGCTACACAAAATCGCGTTCAAAATCGCAGGCAATTCATTGCCGATTTTGAACGCGATATTGTAAATTTGAAAAAAATTCAAATTCAAATTTTTTTTTTTGCATTCCAATTCAAACATCCTCTATTTTCCCCCCGTCCTCCTGTAATATGGCATGGCAGGCCAAATCAACAGTCATCACCAACTCTGGCCCATGGGCCCTAATTTGAGCATCTCTGCTTAATAGTGTGTGGCTGACTAAGAATTGGGCATTTCTACAGTGACACTGGTAACTGAAAACTTTCATTCATGACCTCATTCACGTTTACGTCTGTCCTCCAGGTTCCAGAGATTATAAGCACTCTCAGGCAGGCTGGCAAAAGTTCTGCCCGACAAGAAGACACTCCCTCATCGCTGCCTAGCAATGGTCAGCCAGATGCCTCCTGCTCCACGGCAATGACGACTGATGCAGCAACAGCCTTCGCGAAGAAGTTTGAGGTGTTGTTCTGTGGGCGAGTGGTGGTGGCCCATAAGAAAGCACCACCTGCACTGATAGATGAGTGTATTGAGAAGTTTGGACGTGTCAGCGTGACAGGATCACTAGCAGCGGGCATCAGACGGGCATTCTCACTCAGTCAGGTTACACTCAACATTCATGCTTTTGGATTCTTAACCTAATACTAGATTGTGGATATACTAGATTTAACATTTCAGATCTTTTCTGACTCTTGATTGATGTAGAAAATACTTTTTCTTTGTTTGTTTGTTTCGCTTTATTGTCCCCCTTAGGGGAAACTAGTTTTGCAGCAGTAAGTTACAACACATACAAACAATATATAATCTATAGACAACAACTTCACATATAAAGCATAACACCCCATTCAGATTAAGAATTCATCAAACTAATAGCCACTTGTGTTTTTTGTGTTTCTCTTTGTGTTGTGAATGTGGCTGATTTTGCATAAGCTTATTGAAATTTTCTTCTTTGTTATGTTAAGTTTCAAGATCTTTATTGTCTTGTACTAGGTACAATGAAATTCTAATTTTGTTATCTACCCTCGAGAAAGACGAGGTAGAAGGGGAACAGACTATAAGTTACAAAGACAATAGAATATACAGTAAAGTACAAGACAATAAAATATAAAAGAATATGCAATAAAGGACAAAACGGAACTGCAAAAATAAATAAAAAATGGCAAAAGTATATGTACGTTATAAATAAGCGAATTTGTATGCAATGAAAAAAGTTAAATATTTTAATATTAGAGCTTTCAATCTATTAATTCAGTTTATCAAATAAATTTTGTAATGTTTGCAAACTGCAGCAAAACATTCAAGTCAATGATTACTCCAATAATTAAATAATAAAATGTCTCTCCTACACTTTATGAACTTAATCTTACTAGTCTAATCATTCTATTCTATTATTTTTTTATTATTATATTATGTTACATTAAATAACATAATGTATACTTTTAATTTCTATTGTATACATTTTATATTAAAATCATTTTATATTTATTATTTTATATTACATTTTAAATTAAATATTTTTATATAAATAACATATATGTCTGCTTTTAATATGTATATTTTATCCATTTTCAAAGCACCATTTTCATGTCTTATTTTCCCACCCTCAACCTCTTTATCTTGAAATACTATTATTATTATTATTATTATTATTATTATTATTATTATTATTATTATTTAATATATCTTTTAATTACATTTTGCCTTTAACTGATAATTTTGTTTGACTTTCAGGTGGTGAATGGAACAAACGAGGGAGCAGATGGAGGAGGAAAGCGACCTCTGTTTTTAAAAAGAGATCAGGCTTTTCCATTTCTGCAGGCATTGGACGAGAACGGCCTCTCACCGGAGCTCCAGCGACGGGCAGCAGACGGAGCCACTGGGGTCCAACCCACTAGCCTACAGGAGAACAGAACCATGCTGTTCACAGTGAGTAATGCACACACTCCCCCTCACACATGTGCCAATAGAAACACCTGAACCAGAGGCAGGACTGTGCTGATATAATCATGCATCATTATATAATGATTCTTTTTCTCATTAGATTGTATGGATACTTTAGTTTAGATCCCTGAATATGTGCATTCACATAATTGCTTAGAATTTAATTAGCAAATAAGCAAACTGGTGTCTTAATGTTTGTAATGGGATGTGCTGCTTATTGTGAGTTACAGTAGTCCCTCACTGAGGTCACTACAGCTCTTTTATCTTTGTTTAGCCCAGCCCTTTTGTTTGTTCTTATGTAGATCACCCTTTTCAACATAGAATCTGCTTTCACAACTAAACCTCTATGTTGGCACATTACTACCCACATAATCCACAAAACGGGTTTTATTTGAAACACCATAACTAAAGGAGTACACTTTTCGTTCATGAGAAACTGGCGGTTCTGGAATATAAGATGATTCCAAAAATTGTATAGATATGTTACATGAACGTACAACATATATACACAAATTTATCTCTAAAGCTCTGCAAAAACCTCTATAGACATCTCCTGAAGTTTTTCAAAGGAGCTCTCTTTGTTTTAATATTTCTCTGTAGAAATATGGCACACAACTAAACATTTTAAAGTGCATGTTGTCAGCATGACTTGTGGTTGTTGTGATGCTGTAAGGTGTGAGAGGTCAGCATGCCTTACGCCTATGTGCACGCATATTTATGCATGGACATTTGAGCAGGTGTTTATCTATCTGTATGTGGCTTTTTTATGGTCATAGCACTACGAGGCACCAATCAAATGTTCTTAATGGCCCTTCCCTCATTTCTCCCTCGCTCTCTCTCTCTCTTTCTCTCTGACTTTGAATTCCATGTTCCTCACCCCCGAGTGGAGTGTAAGATGAGTGTTGTAGCCTGAAGGACATGGAGATTGTCATTGAACAAGTCTGTTCTAAAACTATCACTGCCTCTTTTCAAACAAATCTGTTTACTTACAGCCCAGATATAATTTATACACAAATCATACTTAAAGTCACCATGAAATGGTGCAGTGTTTATTATAAATTATTTTACCGTGCACATCATTATTATTGTTTTTATAAGCCATTTCACTCAAACGTCACAATAGGGAAGAAAAGACAACCACAACTTCTGTTTCATTCTGACATCATGTCATTGCAGCAAGCACAAAATATTAAACCAATTGCCATTTGTTTTAATGAAATATAGCACAGTTTTGAAATAAAACATTTCACACATGCAAAAAAATGGTTTAAATTATATACTACCATTCAAAAATTTGGGGTCGGTAAGATTTTGTATGTGTTTGAAAGAACTGCATTTGTTTGAACAGAAATATTATGAAATATTTTTACAAACTAAATTAAAATTTTTCTACTTATATAATTTATAAGATTTATTTTATGTTAAATTTAGTTTATTCCTGTTATGGTAAAGCTGAATTTTCAGCAGCCATTACTCCAGACTTAAGTGACATTTCTTATTATTATCAGTGTTGAAAACAGTTGTGCTGCTTAATATTTTGTAAAAAAAAATAAAATAAAAAAAGTTTTTTTTTTTTTTTTGAGGATTCTTTAATGAATAGAAAGTTCAGAAAGAACAGCAGTTATTTGAAATATAAATCTTTTGTAATAATGTCTTTACTGTCATATTTGACTAATTTAGTGCATCCTTGCTAAATAAAAGAATTTCTTTCAAAAGAAAGAAAAATTCTACTATGGTAGTGCAATTATAAAATAGATATACTGTTCACTGTAGATCGTCGGCATTTTAATTAGGCACTGTAACAATACCCAATACAAAATACAATCTCCATTATGTTTCTAATTAGTTAGGTTAGAACAATTAACTAATGATTTGTTTCATTTGTTGTAGTTTGATTGGTGCACATGAAGATGTTAGAGGTTGCACACTTTCATATTGTTATAGTCTGATCCAAAAGCTTAAAATGTGGATTGTGCTGTGTAATTTATTGTTTAAAGATGCACACAGCAAGCTACGCATTGTGTTGGCCAAATCTGATCAGCACTTCCTGTTTCTCAGACTGACAGGAAGCTGTCAGCTCCTCAGCAGGAAATTACCTAGCAATAATGATGAGCATCACAGTTAACAATTTTAAAATAAATACTAAATTTGCTTGCGGCAGCAGTCCCAGTTTTATGAAATTACACGGTCACTCTATTGGTCACTCTGTTCCAATTTTATTTATTTGGTCTTATCTTGATAAGGAAGTCACACCAAATGTATGGTGATGTGTTTGCTATTGTGTAATCATCCATGGGGAAAGAAATGGTCACAGCGTGTGATTGTTTTGTTAATGTTCTCTAAAGATGTGAATAGTCTGTGATCTTATACACAGTGACCGGCTAACTTGTGCCCATAAATCAGTTGTGAGTTGTTTTTGCCCCAATAATAAGTGATATGACTGTACAGTATCCCTTAAATGTTCGTCTTGGCTCAAAACTGCTCAAAGTTTCTTCCTGTGAGCGTTGCTTTTAATGAGCTAATAAAATATTTCAATTCAAATCAATATTTTGTGTCTAATTATTTTACGTATGTGGCGAGTAGATGTGTAATAAGCGGCTCTGCTTCTCGTCGGGGTCCTGATCACCCTGTCAGGGTTTATTTTGTGAAAACGACCGTCTGGATGTACATTATCCCTTAAACAAGGCATCATAGAGCTCTTAAATGAATGTCCTGAATGACTGAATACTCAGTGTATCTAAAACTATGAAGTTATGATTTCATCTGTAGTACTGCTGTACAGAGGAAAACTGGAGTTGGATCAAATCTAGTGGTTACACAGATGTCTAGTGTCATGGAGCAAATATGTGCATGGCCATCTAGCGAAAACCAAAACACAAACTGATTTGAATTTCAAACATGATATTAACACTGTAAAACAGCCTCAGCTCTGACCTCACTTGGTCAGCATCCCAGGAAGAGCTATCATTAACCACTTTAATGCATATGTTTACTCTATGCAAGGAGAATTTCACTCTCCATCCTTTGTACCTACACACATCCATATTCATTTATGACTGTACTTCTCTCTGTTGCAGATTGGCTGCTCTCAGATCTTTCTTGTGAGTCCTGACACTAAGAAGGTGGCCATAGAGAAGAGCTTCAGAGAGATTTCCTTCTGTTCTCAGGTCTGTTCTGTCATGTTGATGCTAAGCTGTAATTAATTGACTCACGTCGACATAATGACTTTTTCTCAAATAGAGATCTGAGCAACAATCAGACATGATTGAGCAGGAACTTGGGCTAACTGAATTCAAAACATAATTAAAATGGCTTGAATGAAAGCTAAAAAGAAATCAGCCCTTTGTCTTCACGCTTGTCCAGACCTGTTTTCTAAGTATTTTTAGTCACATGCTGCATTGTAGTATTTAAACATATATTTGCCAAATCAGGTATTGCAGCCTGTTAATGGGTGGTTCACCATAATAAACGTTTCTGTTATATTAAAAAATTATTTTGAATGCGTTTGAATGAAGAAATTAATGTTTTTATTCAGCAAGGATGCATTAAAATGACCAGAAGTGACAGTAAAGACATTTAAAATGCTACAAAAGTTTATTTATCTCTATTTCAAATAAGTGCTGTTCTTTTGAACTTTTATTAATTATAGAATCCTGAAACATATGTATAATCGTTTCCATAAGAACAGCACAACTTTTTCAACATTGATCATAATCAGAAATGTTTCTTGAGCAGCAATTTTGAAAACTGGAGTTAAAATATATTAAAATATAAAACAATTATTTTAAATGGTAATAATATTTCACAATTAATTTTTTTTTATTGTATTTTGCTCAAATAAATGCAACCTGAGTGAGCTTAAGAAAATTGTTTCAAAAATATTAAAAGGTCGTACTGACTCCAGCTTTTGAACGGTAGTTTAGTTGTGTCCCCTTTGCGTTTTTTTCCCCAATTTTCTTTTTCTTTCTTTAGGGAATTCGTCACGTGGACCACTTCGGCTTCATATGCAGGGAGTCGGTGGAATGTGGAGGTTGCCAGTTTGTTTGCTATGTTTTCCAGTGTGCTAACGAAGCTCTGGTGAGAATCATGGATAAATAGATGGAGGGATGAATACATTGTTTCAGTCTGAAGAACATATTCAGAATAGTTGCTGTAGAGAGGACAGAAATGTTGTCATGTTCTTGTTCAGTCAAGTGAGGATGAAAACGCTTAGTCTTATGTTAGTGTTACAGCACACAAAGAGCTCTGTGTGAATGTCACTCTTTCATGTTCAGGTGGATGAAATCATGTTGACTTTGAAGCAGGCTTTCTCGGTGGCCGCCCTCCAGCAGAACAGTAGGACCCAGAGTCAGCAGTGTGACAGCTGTCCCCTGCAGCAGCTGCACAAACTGTGTGACAGAATAGAGGGTGAGACGTCTACTGTTTGTTATATTACTCATGTCTATCATATTTTATCCCTGTATCAGTCCATTACTCCACTCTACTTTCTTTTGGTTTCCCTTAATGTTTTGCACCTGTCAGAGGTCCAGAGTAACAAAGATTCTAGTCCATACATTCACATTTACTTGACTTCAATTCAAGTTTATTTGTATAGCGCTTTTCACAACACAAATCTTTGCAAAGCAGCTTTACAGGAAATTAAGTTTCTACAATATATTTAGTAGTAGCTTGTCAGTGGTGACTATGTCAGTTTACTTGGGACAGATTTCAATAGTTCATCCAAAAAGTACAATTCTATCATCACTTTTTTTATTCCTTGAGTCATAGATATTTTGAAAAATCTTCCCGCTCCTTTTCCTATACACTACCGTTTAAACTAAGTTTGGGGTTGGTAAGATTTTTTCAAATGTTTTTAAAAGAACTCTTTTGTGCTCACCAATGCTGCAAAATACAGTAAAAGCAGTAATATTCTGAAATATTGGTATGATTCAAAATATCTGTTTCTTATTTTAATATATTTTAAAATGTAATTTATTCCTGTGATCAAAGCTGAATTTTCAGCATCGTTACTCCAGTCTTTAGTGTCACATGATCCTTCAGAAATCATTCTAATATGCTGATTTGCTGCTCAAGAAACATTTCTCATAATTATCAGTTGAAAACAAGTTAGGCTACTAATAATAGTTTTGTATAAACGGATATAATTTTTTTTTTTCAGGATTCTTAGATGAATAGAAACAACAGCATTTATTTGAAATAGTTTTTCAATGTAGAAGACTTTACTGTTAGTCAGTTTAATTTGTCCTTTCTGAATAATAATAATAAAAAAAAAATCTTACTGACCCCAAATTTTGAACGGTAGTGTACCTTGTAGTTATTCAGCTGCAGAAAAGTAAAAAAAAAAAACTTAATGTAACTTCATGATACTTTTTGGCACTTATCATCCCCTTCGTAACTATATACTTTCATTTCATGGAAAGAGCAGTGGGAACAATTTCAGAGTATCTCCTTTTGTGTTCCACGGAAGAATAAAAACCATACCAGTTTGATGAAATGTGGGTAAATTATGAATTGAAGTTGTAGTTTTTATGTGAACAATCCTTTAAACACACTCCAACTTAACCATAATGATGGTAGAAATTAACATTTGTTTATTCCGAACATGAATTAGGATGCTAGATTTATTTAATTCAGAATTCTGTGGGCTGCAGCAGTGCATACCTGTGTTTGTTTCTTTGTGCATGGCATGACTGGGTGTTTATATGCAGGTCTTCATCCATCCAAAGCTAAGCTGGAACTGCAGAAGCATTTGGCAGGTCTGGACAATCAGGAGCAGGCAGCTGTGTTTGAGAGCACCATGGTGAGTTCAGTTATTCCAATTTTAAAACCGCTATAACACACTACACAAATACGCTTTAGCTCCCCTGTTCTTAGGATTAGCAGTGTGTGTCAAATCCTTTAAGAGCGGCATTCGAAGAATGTGTGTTTTTCTCTTCAGAGGGTGTGACTGGTATAAATTAAACCAGTTTGTCCACTAGTCTAGCATTTTGAAACCTCACTCAAACCATTATGATTGAACAACCTGATGAACGGACTGATATGCTCAGTATTGATTGTTTATATTCTTGACTTTCAGACACAGGTTTATATTTAATTTCAGCTTTGAGAGTGCAATAAACAGAAAGCTGCTTTTAGTTTACAATATTGCTTTAAATATTCCCCTTCTTTCACATAACTTTTATATATGTGATAGTTTTGGTCAGAACACAATCCTTAAACTAGCTTAAATTTGTGTTGTTGTTTTTTTTTGTGAAAAATAGTGTAATAAGTTTGCTGAATAAATTTCTTCTGCTCTCTTGCTGGTCACATTCCTCACTGACCGTGAGTGTGTTCTGTAAGATCGATGGCGCCACCTTGTGGAAATGTGCAGAAGTACAATATTTGTTAGTGTGTTTGAACAGAAAGCCAGGCCTAAGTCGGATCAGGAAGGGAACGAGTTGATTGTGTCATGTCTAAGACAACTGTACGAGGAGAGACAAAAGACACACACTCACACACACAACGGACAAACAAAAAAGGTACACCTCCATTTAACTTCATTAAGATCCTTATGGACTGATGAACACTCCTATTTTGTCAGTCTGTTTTAAAAGTAAAAGTGAAAAGTGAAGATTACAACTTGGATCTTAGGGTATTGAGTGCAGATGCCTGTCCGTATACAGTACTGTATGCATATATGTGTTAGACTTCGCAGGAGGTTGCTGTGAATGTTGAAAGCAGTATCAGTTCGAGTCGTGTGCGTCTGGAGGAGCTCAAGACTAGAGCAAAAAGATCCCTCACAGAATCACTGGAGGGGATCTGGAAGGTACGCAAACATTTTATGCATTTTGAACATTTTGGCCGCATCTACAATTTTTACTTGCTTCTAATATTAAAGAAACGCAGGCCTTGAGAAGAGTATAGGACTTATTGTTTGTAGCAAGATATCTGCTGCAGCTTCAGTAGGTCCAATTGAACAAATGAACTAAACTGTAATACTGTTATATCATTTATGGAAAAATGAATGTCTCCATATAATAGGGCAGCAGTAAGTCCAAATCCCAGAGGGAGAACAGTGAAGGAGAGAGCAACTCCTCCAGCTCCACCACACTGAACAGCACAAATCAGGTCTGCAGAACACCAACATCTTCAATATATTTTCTGTCATAATGTCATTTAGGGCTGGTTGTTTACAATAAATTTGCAATGATTTTGATGGGGCTTCACTTTTCTAAATGCTTACCAAGGCCACATTAATTTGTCCAAAAATAAAGCAAAAGATTAATACAATTTAAAACAACCATTTGATAATTCAGTATATTTTAAAATGTATTTCTGTGATGCAAAGCTGAATTAAGCAGCCACTATTTCATGTGATCCTTCAGAAATCATTCAGGCTGATTTGGACTTTTGATCAATTTAATGCATCCTTTATGAATAAAAGTATTAATTTCTTTCAAAAAAGAAACAATATTACTGATTCCAAACTTTTAAACAGTAGTGTTAATGTAGATAAAATGACCTGTCGGTCTATTATTCTGCTTATTTTATGGTTCACGCATAATTAGCCCATAACTAACCAGCTTAATGCTTTTATATAATTATGGTGTCAGCAGCAATATGACTAAATGCACCAGTGTGTGCAAAACAAGAATACATTTTATTAGTGCTAATAATCACAATAATTTGAAGTTTTACAACTTTGTATTTCGTGCAGTGATTTTAGAGCTACAGCTATCTGTCATATAAGATGTGTTATTCACACTAATAGTAAGTTATATGCCCTCGCATGAACCTTTTGCTTTTAAAATAGCTTTTATGACGTTCTTTTTTGTTTTTTTAAGGAAACATCATTGGAGGAGCCCCTCTGCTCTTTCCTTCCCTCCAGTCCACTCCGCTCCCACAATTCCACAGGGGATCTGAAGCGTCTAGAAGGCTCAGTGGGAGGTCAGGAGGGTCCTGAGAGCCCGCCTCAGGGTTTTAGGAGACGCGCAAGCACTATTAGTCACTCTCCCATGCTGTCGTCCTCTGACCTGAGCCTCCCTCCTTTACAACCTACTGCCGCCACCAAGCCCAAACTAGTCCGACACTACTCCGTCAGCACAGATTCCCCACATCAGAGCAAGTGAGACTGTGTGTGTGTGTGTGTGTGTGTGTGTGTGCTAGCTGCTTCTTTTGATCATTGTACATAGTTTGTGTTTATCCAAATCAAAATCACCAGTTGCAAATTCAAATTGCAACTGTGTTTTGTAGTTGTGCACCCGATTGACATAATTCAAATAGAAATAAAATTTGAATATTTGCATTTGTAAATGCATGTACACTGGCGATGTCAGCGACAGACTCCTGTCAGTCAGTCACCGTGGATGGTGCTTTCAATTCTGTTTCCAGTTCTTGCATCATCACATTTTTTAGTCTGCAGTGTGAATACAGTTCACTGTGTGCTTCGCTTTTTTTATTCTGTGCATCTTTGCTTTTGTATCCCTTTGCGCCCTACTTTATTTTTTCCCATCCTTTCTGTGTTTTCATCAGTCCTTCCTCCCCTCCGGCCTCTTCCTCTCCTGTGTGTCAGCGGCCTTTGAGGCCTCATACTTTTGCTCTTGATCATTCTACCCGGCCCCTCAAGCGGAGGTGAGGTGTTTGTATGTGTCCTCTCTCTGCTCTACTGCCATTAACAAACAGGTCAGGCTTTTTTTCCCCATAAAATGTCTTTCTTTCCTCTGAAGTCTCTGAGCTTTTTGTGTACAAGTTTATGAAAACACATTGGGGAGATTTCTCTAAAAACAAATTGAACTTGCAGGCTGGTTCTGAGTGTTAGGTTGTTGAGGATGCAGGAGATGACCGTGATGTGGTCAAGTAAGACCTCTATTTTATATCGGTACTGCTGCCATGATCAATAGAAAACATCCCTTTCAAATAAAATACTGTCGATTTTCTGTGGGCATTAATTGTGTCAGGCAATTCTGGCGCATTCTGTAATGCTCAGTTGCATAGATCTGGGTTTGCCCCCAAAAATAACAACAATTTAAATGAAAGTCGACATAAAATAGCCTCTTAGTTATTTTAGTGCACTTTCTATGATTGATCAGTTTATGTTTGTCTTTGTCAAAAGATTAGGGTTGCACACAGTAGCAGCTCCTGACTGTAAATTTAGGTAGGGCTGATTCTGAGGCTTAACATTAGTTTCTGATAAACATTTTGTAAGCTTTATATTCTAATTGTAAACACTTGCAGACACACTTTTTGCATAGGTCTAATGTCCTTGCATTATTCCGCCTGAGGGTGGTGCTCTAATATTGGCTGACAGGCTTTAAGTACATAAAGTTTTTATTTTTATATTTTTGGTTTTCATGTTAATTTTAGTTTACATTTAGTGATTTTGTCACATACTTTTGGCATTTTATTAATTTAGCTTTTTTTTATTTTCTATGTAGCAAAACCAAATTTTGGTTTTGTTAGACCTGAGTGCAGCATTTGACACAGTATGTCATTCGAAGTGCTCCTGCACTAAGTACTTTTAAGAAACTGTTGAAAACCCACTTTTTTAAAATTGTCTATTATGATTAAGTTGTATTTACATGTGACATTGTTGTAGCGCTTTGGGTTGAGAAAAGCGCATTATAAATAAAATGTATTATTATTATTATTATTATTAGTAGCTGTTTTTATTTCATTTTTAATTTTAGTTTAAAGTCCGTGTTATCCGAAAGTTGCTGCCGACTTTTGCTTCAGAATAGTGATGTATTTCCACTTGAAATGGAATATTGAATAGTGGGCGGGGTTTATATTTTAGTGCTCCTCCTCTCTGTCTCTCACTCATAACAACCTAACGGTTGGAGGGGCGTGGTTAAAGGGGTCATATGATGCGATTTCAAATTTTCCTTTATCTTTAGAGTGTTACAAGCTGTTCATGAATAGATAAGATCCCTAAAGTTGCAAAGACTAAAGTCTCAAACCCAAAGAGATATTCTTTATAAAAGTTAAGACTGGTCCACGCCCTCCTAAAATGCCTCGTTTAAACACGCCCCCACATATCTACGTCACTGTGTGGGAAGATTTGCATAACGCCGCCCAAATGTTCACGCAAAGAAAGAAGGCTAACTTTATTGTTGCTGTGTTGTGAAGATGAAGACAGTGTGCCACTGACGATTCAAACTCGAGTTTTGAGCAGTGTAGAGTAGTGCTTGTTGTTCGTCATTTCTCCGATCATAAATGCAGGCATGGTTTTATGTTTATGCGGCGTGATGCAACGCAAGGCGTAAAAAGACCGTATAAGTCATTATAATCCATAATAATGTCCCCACTGGATGCAACAAATGCCTCGTTTATAATGAGTTTTAATGTTTTTGTCTCGTCGCTCCGGGACACGGCATCATAGTATGGTAAGGGGCGTAACATTTCCGTCACACGCTTGAGGTATTCGGCCAATCACAACGCACTGGATAGCTGGCCAATCAGAGCACACCTCGCTTTTCAGACTGATGAGTTTTGTAAAAATCGATGCGTTTCAGAAAGGCGGGGCATAGAGGAGAAACAATGTACAGTATGTAGAAAATAATGTGTTTTTTGAACCTTAAACCACATAAACACATTTCATTACATCAAATGCACAAAATAATGTTCTTTTCAGCAACATCATATGACCCCTTTAAGGATATTCTGCCCAAGCAGTCAAACTGACAGAAGGAATGCCTTTCTAAAGCAGAAGCAAATGTTCAGATTTTGGTTAAAGATTACCAAAACAAACAATTTCTTTCAGCGGATTAACTTTCATAGATTAATTGTTCACCTCAAGACTAGCAATATGCGCTAACAAAGTAAATAGAGTAAATTTTGATTTCATGCAGACTTTAATTTTAACTTATTTCAGTTAGTTGCCAAGGCAACAATTGTCATTTTTGTTTACGTTTAAGGTTTTTTATCTAATATTTATATTTTATTTAATTTCAGCTTTTTTTTTTAATTATTAGATTCAGTTATTATAGAGATAAAAAACAGGGTTTTGTCATGAAATACCACACATTAAATTCGCACATCTGTTTGGTGAATTCACTTCAATGTGTTCTCAGTCCTGCTCCAAGAACAACAAGATAGATTTCGCTTTTGTGCTGGTTTCAGTCTTATGAGGCTGTTCATTACAGTGACTCTCTGCCTCACTCCTTTACTCTGTGGCCTCTCTCTCTCTCTTTCTCATGCTCTATCTCTCAGTCCATCAGGGCTGAGTGGCTTTAGAGCGAGATTACACTCCTCTTCCTCTGTTCCAAATTTCCTCAAATTTCTGGCCCCTGTAGTGGAGAGCGATGATACCAGTGACTCTCAGAAGAAGAGGTACTCTGCCAGTCCATCTTTCCATTTTCCTGTCTTCCATCTCTGTTCTTATTCTGCACCTGCCACAGAGGCTGATGTGGTTAAAGACTCATTAGATAAGAAAAAGAATACATTTTCTTGTAATGAATCAGGATGTGCACAGAAAATCAAATAACTCAGTAGTTGTTCCGCAGCAGTTTTTATGAATGCATATTGTATTTTTTTTCAGAAGACAAGCATAGACTGTTAGCTTAATTTGTTAGCTAAGATATTGTACTCATTTTGAAACCATAAAAAATGGATAGTCTAATGTTTGTGAATAAAACACAGTCATATTTAAAAAATAAAATAATAAATAAATCACAACATTATAATGTACAAAATATAATAATACATTTTGGGATTTCCTAAAGATTATATTTAACAGTGTTGAGTTAGTGTTTTTAAAGATTAAGTGAGTGTTGGAAGGGTACAAATAAAAATACTAAATCTGTAATATACTTACTTTTTTGTGCATATCTACATCATTTAATAATGTATAAAATTATGGAAAATATAAAATTAATTAATTTATAAAATTAAGTCCTGGTACAGGGAATATCATTTCTGAAAAACACCATTACTACAGAGTTATTTCATATTATGAACACAATGTGATATTTTAATAATAGATAGATAGATAGATCGATAGAATAAAATTTCAATTTTCAAATAAGGAAACAGAGTATTTGAATAAAAAATGTAATAAAATACTCCAAATGCCAGTAGTAATGAGTTGGTCTAGGATTGTTTTGAAATTGTTATTTTTTGGTCTTGTTTCATCAGCTTTCAAATTTAATATGGCCTCTACTCTGACAGAAGTCTGTCACTACTGTCTGTCAGTGTATGTATATATTTGTATGAATGGATGCCTATGCTTATGTATTTGTATGTGTAGTGACGTGGCGGCCCTGTCCAGTCCCGGAGCGGTGTGTGTCGTTGGGGATGACAGTCCATTATGTAACCGGAGACACTCCTGGAGACAACAGATCTTCTTAAGAGTCGCCACACCACAAAAGGGCTCAGACTCCAAAGGTAGCACCCTAGTTAAATATATAAGTAGGATACATCGATACCAAACATCTATATCAACTACACTTTACAGTGTACAGTTAGTGCCTCTACATGCCGCCGTAACTAATGGTGTCCTCTAGGTGGCGCTCTTGCTCTTAATGACGTGCTAAGTGTGAGTGAGTTTGCAAACTGACAGCCAACTTTGACTTGATGTTTCTTTTGGCAGAGAAACAGAATTACAATGATTATCACTTTCCTCATTTCCACCGCACTCAGACATGACTTGCTTTTCTTATTTTCTTGACCTGTTTTATGTCTTTCTTGAACTGCCAAAACAGCAAATCAGGTCTGTTATTTTGAAGTTGGTAAGCTCATTAGACTTGTTAGTACCTCAGAGTAAATGTTGATCCAGATGTCAAAACACCCCTCAGGTGTGAGTGTGAATGAGAGAAATTATCATTAATTATCCACACAATTGTGTAGCTCATTAGGCCCAAAAAATTAAATGCCTTCAAGTTATGGTGTTGTTAAGCCCGGGTTTAACAGTTGTTACAAACTACAAAATGGCCTGTTTTAATGGCCATCAATGTAGAAGTTAATGGAAATTTCTTAAAGGGACAGTTCATCCAAAAATGAAAATTGTCTTTTTATCATTTTCTGGTTAAAAAAA